TAATGTTCAGTATGCTTTTATGTCACCTGAGTCACTCAGGTGACCTATCGCTATCTGATTTTGTCTGTCGTCATTTGTCATTTGTTGTGAATTAACATAAGAACATTTTCAGCTTCTTCTCTGTATCAATTTCAACCAATTTCAGCATATAGCATCTATGGGTGGAGGGAAAAAACTTTTGAATTTCATGGTCCCTGCCACTCTAGGGCCTGAGGGGTGGGGCTAAAACCATCTAAATTATTGCAATCTTTAAAAATCTTCTTCTTTACTCCTGGACAACAAGTCAAACTGTTGGCTTGATTGTAATAAGCACTCAGAGCCTTCTACCAAAACTGTGAAATTCATGGCCCCGGAGTCAGATATGTTCTGGAGTTAGGATGGGGCTCTGTAGATGAAGTAGTGAAAGTGCATTATTGCTTTGAAAATCTTCTTCTCTGTTCCAGGGTATTAAGCATAAAAAACTAATGTATGCTTAATATGATGAGCAAGGGTGCCTCTTCCAAAACTATTGTGAATTTCATGGATCTGGGGTTGTGGTGTAGGGTGAGGCTTTATTAATTATATATAGTGAAAATACAATATTTCTTTGAAGATCTTCTTATCTGCTCCTGGGTATTTAGCAGGTGAACTAAGTGCATAGTTGTGATGAGCAAGGGTGCCTTTTGCAAAATTGTGAAATTTTTGGTTCCATGCTTAGGGATTCTGGTGTTGTGGGGACTCTATTGATTATAAAGTGAAAACATGTTATGTCTTTTGAAACCTTCTCTGCTCCTGGAAATAAACCAAACAAATTAAGTGCATTCTCTTCCAAAATTGTAAATTCCATTGCCCCTGGGTTATGGGTCCTTGTGTAAGGGTGGGACTCTATTGATAATATATAGTGAAAATGCAATATTTCTTTGAAAATCTTATTCTCTGCTCCTGGATATTTAGCAAATAAACTTAATGCATGATTTTGATGAACAAGGGTGCCTTTCTTAAAATTGTGAAATTTGTGGCCCCAGGGTCAGGGATTCAGTTTTGTTTTTTTTTTTTGGGGGGGGGGGGGGACTTTATTGATTATAAAGTGAAAATGTTATTTTTTAAAAATCTTCTTCTCTGCTCCTGGGTATTAAGCTAACAAACTAAATACATTGTAATGATGAGCATGATCACTTCTTCCAAAATTGTGAATTTCATGGCCCCTAGGTCAGGGGTTCTGGTGTTAGAACAAGGTTCTATGGATTATATATTGAAAATTCATTAATTCTATGAAAATCTTCTTCTCTGCTGCTGTGTATCTAAGCATATAAACTAAGTGCATGAATATGATGAACAATCGTATTTCTTCCAAATTGTATAGTTAGTAGCCCCTGGGCCAGGGGTTCTGTTAGGGCAGGGCTTTATTGAATATATATAGCGAAAAAAGATTATTTATGAAAGTCTTCTGCTCTGCCCCTAGGTATTTAGCAAACATACTTAGAGCATAGTTAGGATGAGCAAGGGTGCCTCTTCCAAAATTGTGAATTTCTTGGCCCCTGGGTCAGGGGCTGTGATGTTCGGTTCTATTTATAAGATATTGTGAAAATGCAATATTTCTTTGAAGACCTTCTTCTCTGCTCCTGGGTATTAAGCAAACATACTAAATGCACTGTTAGGATGCCAGGGCACCTCTTCCAAAATGTTTGTAATTCATGGCCCCAGGGCCAGGGGTTCTTGTGCTAGGGCGGGGCTCTGTTGAATACTGTACAGCAGGAAATTAACTCGTGGAGTTAATAGTCACTATATTCGTGGAAATAAAAAAAAAAACTAAGTCATTAATTTGACCCATGCTTTGTAATTTTAAAAATTTAAATAATTTAGGAGGGGAGACAGTGTATAGGCACATTTTATACAGATTGGAAATAGAGCTGAGATTATAAACTGTGTAGTCAGTGTTCGAAATTACAGTCAGTCCTGCGCCGATGTACGAACAGAAAGACTCACAAACACTATGACTAAATGGGTCCTTGAAATAATTTTGGGTCGATGATGATTTACCTCTTGTCGAAAGGCCCAAGAAATTGAGTTAACGTATGTTGGTTTATGCATTTACATTAACTTTTATATCTTTCCTGCATTTTGATTGGATATATTAAACAAATTGACCAATTAGCGTCTTTAAAAGAAATTAGATTTGAGATGGTAAAACTAGTTATTTTTATCAGATCTTATCAATTCTTCTTTTCGTGTGCTTTTTTAATTAAATACTGAAGATTTAATTTTTTCGCATGTTATAAATTTACGCTATATGTACACGGTTACAAACTTTCCGCAGAAATTTGTCCTAGTGTACTTTAAGCACATTTTATTTACACATTGTGGCAATCTAAGAAACCTGCGTAATTTTTCGACCCGCAGATTTTAAGAACAGAAATTGTAATTCCACGGAAGTTTGAGCCTGTGGAAAAAAGGAGGTTTACAGTAATATAAACACATTTTAAACTCGTTAGGTGTTACAGACTGTGTGACTTTTAATGTTTTACTGTTTCATATTGTCAATATACCGGTAGTTACTTGCGAGTTGTAGATGCCCTTTGTTAGCATGGTTAAATTAACATATTTTATATGAACCAATAACCTTACCAAGATCATCAATAAAAGTTTATTTTTACAATATATTTGATGGTATTATTTTTGGGCCTACGGTGTCCTGGAAGGACTCGTGTTGCCCCTTTATTTGTGGGTCCTTTGGACCCATAGAAAATAATTCTGAATTTCGAACACTGAGTGTAGTACAAAGAATTTATATGATAAAAGCATATTTCTGTCTCTCCCCACCTCCCACAATACTAGTCATCATGTTTTAAAAATCTTTTGAAATGTGCACAATTGTGTATATTGTAAAAAAAAAAAAAAAAAAAAAAAAATTTTAATCAACTAACAATTTTATGGATTGGAAACAAATAATCGACAATTTTTTCATTGTGGTGTCACAAAATATATGTGCAAGGTTCATTCAATTTCACTTAAGTTTTTATATAGAGGCTGAGCACAAACTTTCTCATATATTTCATGCCAAGGTTTTCATATTTCACATGATTGTGTATTTGTGACAAAACCTTTCTTTGGGCACCAACATTTTTGACCTTCTGACCTTGACCTCGGAATTTTGCCTATTTCTGAAAAAACTTCTAGGGTTTTCATATTTCACAAGTGTATTCCTTGTGAAAAGACATTTCCATTATTGACCTCAGAGTTTGATGTACTTTCGAAAAATTTTAACCTTGGCAATGAGCTGCCTTATGGGGCGTCTGTTTTCACAAACACATCTTGTTTCTTTCTATTGTAGAGTTTTACCTTAAATCTATAAGGAATATTGGATTCTTCTACAATGCTATATAGTCCTGTTGAGCAAAGAACCAAGTTAACAAGGGGTCTAATTTGGCCCTGCATGAGAAAATCAAGTCTGTTCAGTTTTACTGGAAAACCCCAAATTATCAGCTGGACAATTTGACTATACGTTAGGGCTGTATCAATATATCGATAAATTGATACGTATCGATATTTAGGAATGTATCATATCGAAAAAATAACTTCCAATACGTATCGGACAGGCAGATTTTCTTATAATTCTGTGAAAAAGTTGGGAATTTCAATCACCAAAGGTTATATTTTTCACTGTTTTGAATTAAAATTGATTAATAATGATATAATCATTAAAGAGATTGCACATCTTAGATAAATATTACAAAATACATTGACAACTTTATTTAACGTTGTATTCACAGTCATTAAAAGTTTGAATTTGAAGTGTAATTTGTTATGACAGTGAGACAAGAACTTCAAAATGGGTTATAAAACAAGTAGTTTTTATAAAATTTATGCATTAAATGAATTACCGTATATACTCGCCTATAAGTCGGTCCGCCTATAAGTCGGTTGTATTTTTGAGGTTATTTTAGAAGGATTTGCCATTGACCCGCTTATAAGTCGGTACAACTCTTTGTTAGAATCGGTTGACATTTCAAACCAATGTTCTGATGTTTTAACCTGGTTTAGATTAATATTCTTAGAAATAATACCGATATTTAATTTTAAATCATTAAGAAAAATACATAATGCATACTTAAAAAAAATAAAGTTTTTAAAATATGTAAATACTTGTACTTTATGTATAATCTTAGAATGCATAAATGATATAATAAGTCCAGACTTTGTTCAACGATAATCGTGGGAAATGTTTATAAAATAAAACATTTCACCTTCCAGAAAATACTAATCTTTTTATGACTCGCCTATAAGTCGGACATAGAGTTTTGGACCAAAATTTAACTCCCAAAAAACCGAATTATAGGCGATTATATATGGTAGAAGACTTTTTTGATAGACTTATTAAAGAATCCAATATATCGGATATCGCATTATAAATTATCGTATCGTATCAATTCACAGCCCTACTATACATGTATATTTATTAAAAAAATAGAGTATTTATTTCTTAATTCAAGGGAAATTGAGCTTACATTAAAATGATAAGTTGAATGTACCCAAATATACCTGCAGTTTCCATATTATTCTAGAATATTGCAGGTTCTTTATAAATAAAAGCAAGTATCAGAAGAAACTCTTTAACACATACTGAAAAAAGTCCCTACTTTTATATCGATATTTGAAATATTTTTATTCCAGTAGGATTTACTGTATATCTGGTCTTTGAAGAATCATATCATACTGTTGGTACATAAATTCAGATTATATATGTCTGTGGTAGATAAGTATATTTGCAATACTATAACACTGTTTTATTGAACATTTCTTCACAAACTGAAATGTAAAGAGTGCCTAAATAGAATGAATGCTGTATAGGTGTTGTGATTGGGGTTTCATAATATCTGACTTTTTGATACTTATTTTAATGTTAAATTAAAACAATGTTCATTTTCTTTCTTTCTTTTTTTTCTTTTTAGAAAATATGTTTTTAATAAAAAAAAATTTGATACCAATTGACCTTTCCTCAGATTTATACAATAAAGGTTTATACTGATGAAATAATACTGATAATTATAATTTACTCATGAATTACATTAAAAGTGAGTGATGAATAAACTCTCCAGAGTTATCAAGCTGGTAATATGGAACAACTTTGCATAAATGATTTTGTGTCTGAATTATCAAAAAATGACTTCATTTTTTAAATTAAAATTTTGACCAATGAAATGTTAGGAATTTATATATGCTGGCCATAGATGCAACCTTGACTGTCTATGCCCTGTTGACAACACTGCCAGACATATGTGACCCTCTGGAGTTTTCCCTTGCTATTGTACTCCTCAACTCGTTCTTTAGTTCTAGGATGGTAGCAGCAAGCTTTCTTATGATTGTCATTTAGAGTAAATAATTTCTGGCATCTAAGACACTTAGAAACTTTCCCACCTTTTGCTTTACTGATTTTGCGCTGACGCATTTCATCCAAGGATCGTACAAGAGAGCGGAAGGTGCAGGCTTTTTTGGACTCATTTGCATAGATCCTTTCAATTCGACGGCTCTCGCGTTCTTCCTGTCGGAGTCTGCTGTCGGAATAGAGGATTTGTTTTGACCTTTTCCTGACCTCTTTGACTTGATCTAGAGAGCTTTTGACTATCTTCTCCCTTGGTGAATCACTGGTTTTGCCACTGACCTCCATTTTGCTTTGTGCCCAGGTAACAAACTTATCATTTTCTGGGGTTTCCTCTTCTCCATTGAGAAGTAGAGGCTTTAGTTTGAAATTGTTCGAAATCATAGAAGCATGGCTATACTTCATGCTTCCTTGGGAACCTTTGCGATAAGAGTCCATCTGATTCAGAGCATCTTGCAGAGAATTCTCAAGTTTCTTGGCACTGTGTCTTAGCTTATGAAGTTTTTCCTCTGATATAGGAATGACAGAGTCAGTAGAAGAGCCAGATTGCATGGAGGAAGGAGAACTTCTTTCTATGGGAGGCAGGTGGCTGAATTTGGGCTTTTTGTCAAATAGTTCTACTTTCTCATGCCTAAATTCCTCTTGTGCATTCATGTGTTTATGAAACCTCTCCCTCTCATCATTTTTCCTCATCAGTAGTTTCTTTAGTTTGAGGTTTTCGGCTGTTAGGCTGTTGTTAAGAGCCTCTAGGTCAGTCACACGTTGGGAGAGACTTGAGAAGCTTTGTTGGGTAATCAGGACTTCTTTGTGTATGTGCTCTTTAATCATCTCACACAGTGATGAATTGTCATTTTCTTTCCTACGTAAAAGCTCCACACATTGTATTCTGTCCTCAACCAAGTAGTTAATCAGATCTGTCAAACACTCAATGTAAAGTGGCAAGGCCAGCTTAGGTTCTTTGTCTGCTATTTTCAGTAACTTGTCTTTGTCCATGTTGCAGCACTCTGAAATGATATGTAGCTGTTCTGCACACTGATTTAGGACTCCCTGTATCTTGAGAGCTTCCCTCCGATGGCTTTCGATCTCCTGCATGGCCATTCTGACTTTGTAGGCCCATCCCTCGCGTTCCTGCTGGATCATAGATCCCAACCAGTGAGAAATTTCTATGATGCCCTCCTGAAAAGATTTCCCGTGGAGTTTTGGTGATTCTTCATCTAAAAATTCTGAGACAGCTTTCTGAATATCATCATCTGTCCTTAAAGCGGACCAATGTTGGGAGGTCGGGCTCAGGAGATTTCCTTTTAAAGTTCCCATTTTGGGATCATAGATTATCTTCAAACTTTCATCTAGTCACATCTGTAAAGAAAAGAATTGTCTGTTATAAGACTGACACAGTCCTTCAAGAAAATTCACTGTTAATTAAGAGATAGGAATTTGGGATTAATTTGCTAGAGACATGCATAATTTATACAGATTAACATCCAGGTATAGACAAATCAACACCCCTATATAGAGAACTTGAGATTTGTCGACAGCCCAGCATATAAAGTACATTTAAAGATTAACGGCCTTGTGATGAAATAAGATAGTTGAAAAACTTTGGTTATGGTAAATTTGCCAAAATTTGGTTGACGTGTGAATATGCAGTGTCATTTAAGAGCCATTGTGGGTTAGTTTAAAGTTAATATCAGAATGATTTTTAAATGAAATGTATCAAGTATGAGGTACTTGTATGATAATTAGCTACAAAATGTCTGTTTTGTTATGATATGTAAACAGTTATGTTGAATAATTGGCTAAGAGCTTCAAATCATTTTAAACAGAGAAATAATTTATGTGGCAATTGAAAACTTAATGACATTTTACATTCAAGGTTTGCCTAGATGCATTGCATGATATCAGTGCTCTAACAAAATTTATGAGGAAATCCTCAAACTTTTAAAAATCAATATGCAGAGCTTGCCTTGTATGTAAAATTTGATATCTGACTATTGATTTCCAAGGGGACTATTGTCTATTTTGACAAATATGGTATCCATTAATGAAAGTGCTGTGTATAACAATTTAATTCACCCTCTTTAGGTTTAAGGTATGGCAATTTTCTTTACAGTGTATGTTTTAATTAAACTTGTACTATTGACAGATGCTTGTGTTTATTTTTGAGGGGAGTTAAAAGTGAACTAACATCCTTTAATTACTTAATTGGCGTGATTTTCCCACAAATATCACTTTTTTCCTGGGCAACAATCTTTTTTGAATTTGAGTTCCCTTCATATTCACTCATATTCATTTCGAGAAAAATAATAATAGTTTTCAACAATTATTTCAACAACTCATGAAATAAAATTCTTAATCAATAAAAGACAGTAATCTCCCCAATGTCAGAAATAAAAATCAATCCTAAAGGCAATATTTAACTAACAGATTACAATAAGAAGAATTCAACTGTCATTTAATTAGTTTCAAAAATACTTTACTGAAAAAAAACTTGATGTAAAATAAAGATAATCATAAACAAATAAAACAAAGATAATGATAGACAAAGTAATTGTATCTTATCTGCTTAAAAGTCAGGAAAGTGAGTAAATCCCAGGTGTAAGATAGATTCCAGGGACTAAAGAAGGCTCTAAAATCTCCCTGAAAAAACTCGGCGCTTGTTTTATCTGAGGGAATGATTTCTGTCAGGTGAAGATTTAAAGTCCATTGCCACGGTTTATAACATTTCATCAGCTACATGTATCTCCAATACAAGAGCTTTAATTCTGTTGACAAAGAGTCTTAGTGTATTGAATTCAACAGGTATTTTTTGTTATCCAAATGCAATCACAATCAATTATCATTTAGAATTTTTTTGTTCAGTTCAATTGATTTTATTCTGCCCAATTGCTCTCCTACAATGAATGGGGGGTTCATTTAGGACACAGAAATCACATTGTCCTAGTATGTTAGGTATTAAATGTTTATTTAATGTAATTTGTGTAATTAGAAGCATTATTGAGTTATATCTTGGGGATATTTTGTTATGAATTGAAAGGATTTCTTTCATCTTGTCAAATGTTTCCTTAACTAGTCACATTCATTCACCGATTTCTATCAACCTTAAACACTCAATAAGACCAAGAATTAGTAACATTTCTTTCTAAATTCTGAAAGGAAAAATGTCCAATGTTTGTGCTGCAATTAAACTGTTATTAAAAAATATGTCATTCAGTAATTGTTAAAAGTGTTTGTTTCTGATTGGCTGTTTTAAGTCATTGGACTTGTCATTACCATTCAGTATACCTTTTCAAATATTTTAGTAAGAATTTATGCATGTCCTAGTTGCTTCAGCATTATATATTCAAAATAAATGAATTTGTTATTTATAGTCAATATGTTATACTCATGCCAAGTCGCAGTGCAATGCATTTTAAAATATGCCCTGCCATGAATATGGCTGCTGGGGCATATTGTGTTGGTCCATCCTTCCATCTGTCCATCCATCACACTTATGTTTAGCTCAGTTTCCAAGAAATTATTCAAGATATTCTTAACAATTTTACGTATGCAGATACATATTGAGGAGAACCATTCTACCTTAAAAAGTTTTTGACCTTGACCTTCTCTATTCTTAAATTTGTGTTAGCTTAGCTTCTAAGAAAAGATTCAAGATATTTTCATCAGACTCCATATACTGAGAGCTATTCAATTGCATCAATTTTTTTTACCCTGAGCTTCCCTATGACCTTGACCTTACTGCTTTATTTTGTATTTAGCGCATTTTCCAAGAAACTATTCAAGATATTGTATAAACACACTGATACAGATTGGTGAGAACTATTCACATGTGTTAACATTTTTTGACTTTGACCTTTCCTTTGACCTTGACCTTACCATCTTATAATACACCCCCGCTTGAAAAGGGGGGTGGAGGTTGGAGAGGTATATGTGATGGGGGTGTCCATATGTCTGTAATACTTTGGGTAACCCATCTCCTAGCCCAAAGTCCTCTTACACTACTGAGTAAAATTTAATGAGGCTTTCACAGAATCTTTATTACTGGTCATGGTAGCGTAGGGCACATGGTAGGGCATGCACTGCATGATCAAGAGGCCCGGGTTCAATCTTTTGCCACAACATATTGTAAGAATATAGCTACGTATGTATTTATTGTTGATACTCGTACTCGTATGTACTTGTACATAATTTATGCTTTTGACATCGCCCCCTAAAGTTTGATTTGCGCTGTTTGTTTTATGATGCGTATTTTGATCGTTTTGTCGTTAAAGTATAAATGGTGTGTGAAATAATTTTTCAGTTAAATAAAGACTAGTTTTATACATGCATAATTACCTGAATTCCACTGTTTATACTTGTTTTACTTTATTGTTAGGACCTCGTGGTACGTAATGTTTTAGTTATGGCCAACTCCCATAATGCAATGCGCCATGTGTTTACGAAGTTTAATGAGCGCTATATTTCAATTATAATTTATTGTTAATGCTTGTATAGATATTTAATGATACTAGAAATAGTTAGGCTAGAAAATAAATGTTTCTTTTATTTTTATTACTTTCTCGTAAGCAGGGATGGGGTAATGGTAATGTGTAATGGTAATTGACAGTAATTAATTACGATCGAATTTCGATGTAATTGAAAGTAATGTGTAATTGGCCCAATTTTCAATTACATGTAATTGTAATTTAATTAATTACTTTTGAGAAAAGCATGTAATTCACAATTACTTTTCAATTACACTCAATTACACTGGTGTTTAATAAATGAGAAATAGCCCCTCCCCTTTTTTTCAAATCCCAAACACTCTATTCAAGAAAGGTTAACTAATTTTTAGGACAAAATGTTCTATAATATATTTTAAAAAAATTATATATTTTCTTTATTTAGTGAATTGCTGTTTCCTCTTTAAAATGCATTTTCTTCAAAACTTTTTAATATTATTTATCTCCTTGTTTATAAATATATTAAGTAAAATTAATAATTTCAATTAAGTTTTTTTATGAATTAACACTTAAAATATCTAGTCCAATGGCTTCTAATCCTTTGTTTGCCATACCTACAGCTTGTGTAAGAAGTGATTAACAGGTGCTTAACAGGTGCTAATTAGTGCCCTAGGGTTATGTACATATTGACACTTAACTTTAACAGAGATTTTACACACATTTTGACCTTACCTATTGGTAGTTTTATACACATACATTGACTATGTCTTCCCACAAATCTTTTTTAAAATATATAATTTGGTGGCAATTTTTCTACTTTAATAACAATTTGTGGGATTTAGACAGTATAGTTTAACACACAATATGTCAATACTATAACATTGTGAGATGTATAGCTTAGGATTATGGAAAAAAAGCAGGAAACAAGGCAAAACGCATCCATTGTTTTGCATAAATATATATGAAAGCTTAAAAAACGGACACATGAATTAATGGAAAACAGCATTCAGGTCCTGTAAAAGGACTGTGTCCGAGTTGAAAATTGGCTCTTTTTTCCCAAAATTTAGGTAACAATTCCCAACTGATGACTAAATTCAATTTTTTGATGCTGTTTATGTATAGAAATAAAGTGTTTTGAAATTTCAATCATTTTTAAAGATATATATATATATCATGTGTATATGGGGAACAAGTCCACTATTTAACTCTTTAATCAACAAATAAATATGTCAACAACATTTCACAATTTTGCCACCTTTTCGATTAGCCACCTTTTTGATTAAAATTTCACAATTAGAAGGGTACAGGACCCTGTACCAAAAAGGGTCAATTAAGCCCTGAAACTTCCTATTAATATTAGTCAGTGTTTATTTATTCCTGTCACAAATGCTCCAGTGTAATATATCTTCATTGTGGCAGAAAAATCTTTAAACCTGATAGATGTAGGTTAGGCGACACAATATTTTAAAATTTCATTAACTGAAACGATATGAATATAAATGAACGTTCATGACTATTTATCACTGTTTATTTTTATTTTATATGTTTTTTCTTAATGTAATTTGTAATTTAATTAATTATATTTGCAAAGTAATTGTAATTTAATTAATTACATTTCAAAATCCTTGTAATGGTAATGGTAATTTAATTGAAGGTTTTGGACAAGTAATTGTAATTTAATTAATTACTTTCCTATGTAATTGACCCCATCCCTGCTCGTAAGGGGTGAGAATTTGTTGTGGGAATTAGAGCCTCCTGTCATGTTTTTCATTGGTTGTTGTAATTTACGTGACGTTACTGATTGGTCGCATTTCATTATGTCATTTTACTACGTATATAAACACGAGTTGTAGCAGACAGCAGTGATTTTGACTGATTTTGAGTTGTAGAAAGGTGCATTACTTAAGTTTGTTAATTTTATTACATTTACTTTGGGAGAAAGACTTTAGAATACATGTATTTGGGATGGAGTTGGTCATGGTTTGTTATAAATAAGTAACTTTATTTACAGCTATCTGCTGAGCTGTTTACCGTGATATATCTGTCTG